TGATTGTCTAGAACTTCATGGTGATGAGTGTTTATGGGTAAGAATTACGACTTCTGGAAGAGAGGGCAGGTAACTCAGGAGGTTGGCATTATTGCTGGGAGGCATCTGTAGTCTGCTCCAGTGCAAAGCCATGTTCTTCCATGGAGATTTTAATTTGAGGGAATCCCTGTGTAATTTTTAATCTTCTGTAGGAGAAGAGGCATGTAAAAAATAAGAGAAAGGGTAAATGAACCCCTAAAGCCTGGTATTTTGAACTTGATGGTATGGCCACAAATTCTGAGCTGTTCTAAATGTCTTTTCCTACTAGACTTGTGCCATGTGCCAGTAACCCTTCTAAAATATGACTGCCTATTTATCTCCGAGATGTGTTTTCTGGATGAACCTGCCCTGGTCCTTGGCAGGAACAAACATCTACGATCATTAATGCCATAGGGTCAGTGTAGCTGCAGAAAGGGTAGATTCGTGCTGTTGTGCTCATCATAACATTGCCTGCTAAGTCACAATTCTTGCCTATGAGTTTTGGTGATGGTTATGGACAGAAAAATGCCGAGTGTGGTTTTTAATACCTGGGTCCAAATCTTTTGTCTATTACTTATGAAAATGTTCTGCTTGAGAACTCCTGCCAAAGGCAGAGTTTTGAGAATATGAAAACTAAAACTAATAATAATGTGGTGCTGTGGATATGTTACATTGTAATTATTCTTGAAACAAAGCTCTATGAAACTTGCAAAATGCAGCTTTAAAGTACTATTATGGATGGTAAAAATTTGAAGGCCTATAAATGCATTCGTAAAGCATAGGAAAATTTAGAGTGTTCTAAGGGTTGCAAGATGACAAACTGAAAATACCCGTTTCTATACAAGCTGGTTAATTTAACCTGGGTCTTCAGCTTGACTGCTGAAGTGCACAGGTTTAAGATTGTGCTGGTAATTTGACTTCAATTTTTTTTAATCCCTTAAAACATTTCAATTACAAATTAACCCTGAATGCTTTGAATTAATTGGTTCTGGGGAAAAGATACCATTTGTGCAATACTTTTTCCCTCACGGGTGTTTTTAATATATACTTGCTATAGCTTGATTTTAGTTAAAGATACTGCTTGTGTGCAAGTTCTTTTTAAGCTTGAAATTCATAGCATCAGAGACTGGTTTGTGTTGGAAGGGGCCTTAAAGCTCATCCAGTTCCAACCCCTGCCATGGGCAGGGACACCTCACACTAGAGCAGGTTGCTCCAAGCCCCTGTGTCCAACCCGGCCTTGAACACTGCCAGGGATGGGGCAGCCACAGCTTCTCTGGGCACCCTGTGCCAGCACCTCAGCACCCTCACAGGGAAGAGCTTCTGCCTTAGATCTAACCTGAACTTGCCCTGGTTCAGTTTGAACCCATCACCCCTTGTCCTGTCGCTCCAGTCCCTGATGGAGAGTCCCTCTCCGGCATTTACATACAGTGATGAAGACTCCAAGTTCTCAAATACAAAGTTATAATATGCAAGTTTTGGGGGAAAAAAAACCAAACCAAACAAAACAGAAAAACAACAGGTATTTTCACTGTGTCTAATAACATACTTCTAAGTTGTCATGACCATCCACTAGCAGACAGCTTAATAATACCACTGGTATCTTAAATAAATGTAGGCATCACATCACAGATCATTACCTGGCAGCCACTAGCTACTCCATGTGTGGCAATTCTAAGACTCACAACAGTGAAAGTGCCTATCAAAATATGTAGATTAAGTCCTTATTAGTCTTCAACTCATTCCAGCTGCATGAGAGTTCTGGCCACACATGGAAAACTAAGGGCAAGATTCCAGCCACACAACAGCTGGGCTGCATTGGCAACCTGCACAGACTTTAACCCTTCCTGCATGCCTGAGACATTCCAGCTGCTTTGCTTTTGCTCCATTACAGCCCAAAGCAACCAGAAGTACACTGCTTTGCCTATCTTAAAACATGGAACACGAAGAGAAATTTAGATCAATAATAAATTTCTCAAATTCACAATATCACAGAATTTGTTCTCTAGTGTTCAGTTTGCTCCGGTAATGCCCCATCCCTGGCAGTGTTCAAGGCCAGGTTGGACACAGGGGCTTGGAGCAACCTGCTCTAGTGGGAGGTGTCCCTGCCCGTGGCAAAGAATTGGAACTGGATGAGCTTAAGGTCCTTTTCAACCCAAACCATTCTATGACTCTGTGATTTTTCTCAGGTCTCAAGAGAGTGGTAGTCTCTTTCTGTAAATCTCATTCCATCATGCACAGCCAAAGGGGTTTTGGATTTTACCAGTGCACAGACAGCTGTGATCTTCATAATTGGTTTGTGTGGGTGTCAGCATTCAGCTCTCCAATGAAATTTGTCAGAAGAGAAATGAGAAACTGAATGAGATGGGAATTAGAGCAGAAAGTTGGCTGTATAGATGATTTAGCAGTAATCTAATGTGTAGCTAATTGGCTGGTATCCAAATTGTGCTTCTGATTGTTTGTTTTCCTCTGGGAAGAATGTTTCTGAATACTAGATAACTGCTTCCCTGAAGGAAAATACCATAAGCTTCATGTCTAGGTATTCTAACATCGATTTTCATCTTGTGTGGCACAACTGCTTCTGATTGTGCACATGGATCATGATATCAAATGTAAAAATGTTGTACTGTAGTAGCAAAATGCTGGCCATGTGTAGGACAGTGGGAGTTTTGCTATTTACACTATTAGTGCCAGGATTTCACCCTAGGTTGTTCTATATGACATTAATTTTTAATGTTCAACTTTTGGTTGTCATCCACAGTATACCCATTAGTCAGCAGAATGCAAAAGTGATGTTTTGCCAGCAGAAATAAAAGCAGATTATTTAAATGATCATGGACTTAGACTGCTGGAGTCAGATTGAAAACTGTGTCCCCAAGGAGAGGCTGCTGGACGGTTCTAAAATTACATTAAACATCTGAAGAACTGCACTCAAATCACTAGTTAATATCAGGGAGGGAAAGTAAGATACTGGAAGGGAATCATAGAATCACAGAATCATTTAGGTTGGAAAAAACCTAGAAGATCATCAAGGCCAACCATTAACCCAACACTGCCAAGTCCACTCCCACTGGTAGGCTCAGGCCACTGATGGTTTGTACACTCAGTGCACACCTAGGATTAGGGCAATCAGCTCTAAACCGCATCCAAAGAGAAGATGTATAAGCAAGATCCTGCAAGCTTCAGGCAGGAAAAAAAATTACCCTGTCAGCTCACGGACAGACACAAGCAAAGAGTAGTAGAGGTCAGTCCCTTCCACACCACCTCAGACCTCCCAGAATACTAAAGATAGAGAAAACATTCTGCATATAGGACATTGTGCCTGGACATTTAGCAAGAAGAGTGTCAGGACGATTGTTATCCTTCTGCTTTGTCTCTCTGCACATTTGGTACCACCACCATCACAGCACCACTCAACACACCACATTTCCCTCTTCTCTCTTCTTAATGTATTTATTTTTTCTCGGGGAAGTGACTTACTTTGAAAATTGCTTCATGATTAAAAAAAGGCAGCAAGCAACTTCTCAAAATGTCAACTTTAATTTGATTTCTGGTTCCCTCCTCCTCACCCTTTCACAGGAAACCCCCGTACCTCCATTTCACACTTTGCCTAGTGTCAACCCCAGAAGGACAGCTGCCAAACCTTGGTATTTCTGGTAGAGATGTGGCACTCTATTCCCTGCCACAGAGCTCAGCTTTGCACATGGGACATGCAGGCACAAGCTAAGAGCTTCAGTTCAGAAACCTACTCCATCACTCAAGGGCAGGAGGTTTTAACCTGCAGGGCTGAGGGGACATACCCATGCGACGAGGTGCTGCAGGGAACTCCAGACCTGGTCACCTTTAAGATCATTGAGTCCAACCATTAACCCAACTGTTTGCAAAAGGCAACGTGCCATTCCTTCCTTGCTTGTTCCCCACATCAGTGATCCCGGGAACAACATGGCATTATGGAGATTTAACAACTGTGTTTTACAAGTTTGGGGTTGTTTTTGCTCTTCCAAATTATAACAATTTTACTTTCCCTCCTTTGGGATTAGATTTTACTGATGTCAGCTGTCAGATGGAAAAGTTCACCAAAATCAGGGGAACTTCAGGAGTGGGCTCTACCCAGTTTCAATAAGGGTGTTGGCCTCTGCTTTATATGGACTTTTTCCTTATGATTTATTGGTGAAATACCATTTTATTCAGCAGAAAACATTTAGAGTGTTAATACGAATCATAGTTACTTATGTGTTCTAAAATTGTTACTCTCCTGAGAGTAGTATCTCTGAGAACAGCCAGTATGGTTTTCATCTCACACCTGTGCAAGATGCTGCATTTTGGGCCATGCCCTGGCGTTAAACTGTGAGCAAACACACTGCCAAAATTTCCTTTGGAAATCGGGTAGCTAAAGCATGTTAAGCAGCCCTTTGTCCTATGGTTTAAAACCTGGTATGTGCCTTAAGCATATGGCAAGTGGAGTTACAGTCTTCTATGCGCCAGCTACAGCAGGAGGCATCTTGTAGGGGGTGTTTTGGGAGACATAAGTAATCTTGATGGTATGTGAGATGTGTGCAGAGCAGTCAGGATAAGCTGCAAAGATAACCATTGGTTATACCTGTGCAGGAGGAACAAGTGGAGAAGGGTTGGTTGGGGTTATTTACAGAGATATGTTCTGATTTTTAGCTCAACATATGTCAGTATTTGTTTTTCATAGCAATCAGTGACCACAGGCCAAAGAATTTTAAAAGTGGAACTACAGATGCTTACTTACTCCTTCATATCGGAATGATGGTACTATTTTGTGTGTGTTAGAAGTCATAACTGTGTGTGCTTTTGTCCTATAGCTGTTGCAAAAGTAGGAATTGTATATCCCATCACCTCATGATGCTTGCTTTAGTCCTTTGAATATTGGCTGTTTGGAAGTAAATCAGTGTTAACAGGTTTTAAAAATATTTCAGAGCTTGTTTAAGGTATGATTTTTTTATTATCATGTTTTTTAGGTGGCCTGGCTCTAGCCCAAGTACTGTTTTTTTATGTGAAGTACCTGGTTCTATATGGTGTTCCTGCCCTCCTCCTTCAAATGGATGGACTCAAACCTCCAGCTCTGCCTTGCTGTGTGAGCCTGATGCACAGTTTCACTAAAATGTGGAGGTAAGTCATGATTGCTTTTCGGACAGCTTATTGCTGGTGTATGGCACTCAGTGAGTAAGACCATGCCTATGTGTTGTCATGGCCACATACATGTCAGCTTTCATGTCCTTGTGCTTTTTCCTCTCATCCCCGTGATTCATCTTGAGCACTTTCTAAATGAACTTTAGTTTGATGGTTACTTTCTTCACACTGTGGAGGGTAGGGGCAAGCATTCCTTTCAGCATTTTCATCCTCTTAATTTTTAGAACTGCCTAGCTTCACTAACATAGCAATTATTTTTTCCAGGTGTCTATTAAATGGTTCACTTTTTCAGTCTTGGTGTAAACCCCACGTGTCAGCTAGATACCCTTCCAGAGAAGGAAAAGAAATGCTTGATTAATCACCCTATGAGGAAAGCTGTAGTTGTAACGCTTCAATGTGTAGAGTCATGCAGTAGAGAAAGTCCTCAACACATTAAAAATACTATGAACAATAGTAATTGTTTCTAATGTAGGGTGAATTTCAGGGTCCCCTTTGCTTTTAAAGAGTTTCAGCACAATATTTCTCAAAAAAAGTATCAGTTTTGAATCTTATGGTTGCTTTAAGTCAGTGTTTACTGCAGATTTTCCCTGAAAACTGTCTCCCAGGTGGATTCTGCTTGGGATTTAGCCTGTGTGTAACAGTGAATTCACTTGACTTCTCCCCTCCCTTGTTTGCCTCTGCACTGTCTCTAATTCTTTCAGTCTGTGGGATGCAGTGCCTCAGACTTCTACAAACATTGCCTAAAATGATTTAGACTTGTCAGGTTTTTAGTGCAGGGACCTCTCTTGTGCTGTGTTAGACACAGAGCCTAGCACAGTTGTGCTTACCGTTTGGTCTCTGACTGCTTTGCAATATGAATAAAGCTTTTTCATTTTAGTCATAAAAACAGCAGGCCTGCTATTATCAGAGCTTTATTGGATGAGATTTTAATTTTGCTTTCAGCTTGAAGCTAGTTGTAACAAGAAGGTTTTATAGTTTATGTAGCTGGCAACTGTAGATATGTAGTATTCAAATGCAGCAGAAACAGTGCAGAAAACAGATGAACTGTTAAAAATTGAGCTACTAACAAATGGTCTAAATTCTCTTTCAGAGTTTGGACTGAACTTATGACCTACAGAGTTAATATAGAAATCTTTGGTTTTTACCAGGCTCTCTCCTGAGAGCAGCATCTCTCAACCTGCTGGCCCTTGCAAGCAGAGCTGTAAACAGTGGCTTTTTCCTCCTCTCCCAGGAATCTGTGTCTTGCTCTGGAGGTGCCAAATGAAACTGAACTTCAGCACAAATATTAGTGACACTGTTGTGACAGGTAGCTGTAACACCATGAAAAAGTACTCTGTGCCTGCAAAGATGTGTGGTGAATCACTGTAAAGACATCGGATTTTCTGTAAAAAATAATTCATAACACTTAAGAAAATTGAAACTAGGATCTAAGGAGGGAGTTCAGTTATTTATTTTTTTTCCTGAAGGAAAAAATGTCAACTGCAGTTATTGACCATTTGCCCAAGTATTTCATTCATACATGCATCTGGAATCCCCTGTTTCAGTTTAAACCCGTCATCCCTTGGCCTATTGCTACAGTCCCTGATGAAGAGTCCCTCCTCAGCATCCTCGTAGCCCCCTTCACACACTGGCAGCTGCTCTGAGGTCTCCACGCAGCTTCTCTTCTCCAGGCTGAACAGCCCCAATGTTCTCAGCCTGTCTTCAGGTGCTCCAGCCCCTCATGATCATTGTGGTCTCCTCTGGACTTGCCCCAACAGCTCCATGTCCTTCTTACATTGGAGACACCAGATCTGGATTTGTTTATTCTGAAGGTTAAAAAAATCAGTTCATGTACAGCTGACTTGATTTCTTGCTCTCAGAGCTGTGTGGATACTAAAATTTCCTATGGCTGCCAGTGAATTAGAGGTCATTCTCCATTATCTAAGTAATCTCATGTAGCTTGCCCTCTGAATCCCTGAATTACAATGCCCTTATGCCTTTATAGTTAAACTCTTTGATCACTGCTACCCAGGGGCTTTGCCGTCCTTGTGTGTGTTTTGATATGTGATATAGGAATGTCAGTGTTAAGAGTGGGAATAGCCTTTGTTTCTGAACCATATGACTGTCTGAACAGGACAGGAAGTGTGAAAATGATGGGTTTAGTATAAAAGCAAGCAAAAAGTGGTGAAAGTCAATAGCTTGTGTTGTGACACTTCATGAACTCTGTTTCCTTAAAGTGCTAAATGATTTTTTTTTGTTGTTTGTGAATGTGTGGACTTTTAAGTGAATGATCCCAACAACTTTATCAGAGTGGGTCAAATTAAGATGTTAGTAACCCAGTGCCTAGTTTTAAGCTGGTAGGATGAGGAGATTTGTATCAGACTTTGTTTTCAGATACCTAGTAAAGCTTATTAAAGGCTCCTTGGGTCAGGTTGGGAATTCCACCCCAGGAGAGCGGTGTGCAATAAGCCAGGTGACGTGGAGTGCACCACTGTTACCTACTGGCTGGTGTTGGGGAGGCTGCTCAGAGAAGAGTGCTTGTGCGTGCTTGGCTTGCTGCTACTCTTCCTGCTGCTGTCTGCTTTAGGGTACTATTAGGTTACTATCAGAAATGGGATATTATGCTAGCTAGGCTTTTGGAAGACCCAGTGTTGCTCTTTTTGTGTGGCAAAGTTATTAGCAGTGCAGATTTTGAAGGAGAGAAGGTAGCCTGAAGAGAAAGACAATATGAATGTCACAATGTAAGGAAGGCAAATATGCTACAAGGAGTCTTCCACCACCATCTGGTGTCCTTTGAGCATAACAACAAAGCTTTTGATCTGATACATCTATACTATAGACACTGTCTATAATCAGTACCTGCTGACATCATTCACTATGCTATGGCAGGTAGAAGACCTTTCATTCTGGAAGGTAAAGAAAGGTACCACAGTGTGACTAAAATTTCTCTAGAGCTGCAAAGCAAAGCAGGTAATGGGAAAAACAAAACAGGTACTGTGCCTCTCTGTGGTTGGTACTAAACAATAAAGCAAATTGTGTCCATTCAAACTTAAAAGGCTTTAATTAAAAAGGAGTTATCAACTTTATAGTGGATTCTGCCTAATTTGCATTTTATTTAATCAAGACGATCTCTTGAGTTGAAAAATCGTCAATCTTATTTACTGTCTCAAGACAGAGAGGGGTTGAATATGTTACTGTGATTTCTATTACCAGGATATCATTATCTTGCTAAATATGCAGCTGCATATCTAGTAAATGCATGATAAATTTAGTACTATTTAAGAGCTTGATTATAGCTGTGAAAATGAGTTTCTGAGCTCCTGGTTTCCAGATAGGGCAGCAGTTCAGTGACACGCTACCTTAAAGTTTTTAATGTCTGCTTTATCTTAATTCATCAGGAATTAAAACTTGGGGTTTGTTACCAAGGTTAAAAGCAAGGTAATGAATCATGTGAGAGCAACCACTGTTGTTGGGGGCTTGTAAGTGCTTCTAAAGAATTAGTCAAGGCTGATGTCTGCCATACAACTTCTCAGAACTGTGTAGTGCAACTGGAAAAACTTCTGCTTCTGCTGACACTTGCAAATTATTTCAATATGGAAAAATATCCTAGTGTAAAAGTAAAGGTGTGGACACTACAGAAACAACAGCTAGCACCTAACTAAATCCTGTATCAATTTTGACATCTCGCTAAATGACTTTAGCAATGCATCTCGCTGAATGACTTTGTGGAAAAAGAAACTTGTCAGTTCATGAATTAGGACAACATTTAGCACAGTTGCTGTTCGTGGCAGGGGAAAAAAACATCATGCTTTCATTTTTTAGGTTTCTTATATTGTGTTAGTGAGTGTAGTGAGTGCTCTTCTGCAAAGATGTTTGACACATTTGCTCAGATGTGTTTTGACATGCCATGGGAACAGCATGGTGTAAGAAACAGGTTTTCTCTGGTCATAGGTTGATATGGAATGTGCAGAAGCACAACTCCTCTGCCCTTCCACCTTAAAGTTTGTACATTCCCAAGTATCTTATAGAATCACAGACTGGTTTGGGTTAGAAAGGACCTTAAGTTCATCCAGTTCCAACCCCTGCCATGTGGATTGCTCCAAGCCCCTGTGTCCAACCTGGCCTTGAACACTGCCAGGGATGGGGCAGCCACAGCTTCTCTGGGCACCCTGTGCCAGCGCCTCAGCACCCTCCCAGGGAAGAGCTTCTGCCTTAGCTCTAACCTGAACTTCCCCTGGTTCAGTTTGAACCCATCACCCCTTGTCCTGTCGCTCCAGTCCCTGATGCAGAGTCCCTCTCCAGCATCCTTGTAGCCCCCTTCAGACACTGGCAGCTGCTCTGAGGTCTCCACGCAGCTTCTCTTCTCCAGGCTGAACAGCCCCAGTGTTCTCAGCCTGTCTCTATAGGGGAGCTGCTCCAGCCCCTCATCATCCTCATGGACATTCCTCATGGATTGTCCCAGAATAATTTGAAAACAAGTATGTTGGGGACAAATTGGGCTAAAACCTTGTGTGTTTCATATAGGTTGGCCTCTGCAAAGATTGAGGTTCTTCAGGAAGGCAGTAAGAAGTAGTATTTGAAAAGTAGATTTCACAGGGAACAGAATTTCATCCAGAAAACAGAAAATGGAGTTGATGAAATGCTGCCAGATAAAAAGCAAATAATACAATGATGGAGAAAGATCTGGCCATTTTCAACTCCCGTGCTCTTAAGTTCTAGATTCCACCGTGTATTGAACATCCCAGCTCCTGACCAGACAGGAGCGTGGCGTAAGTCAACCCTCCCATTCTCTCACATGTGAACGGGTGGGCTGGGAGGTCCGTGTTTCACCTGTGCAGACACACACACACACACGCTTCTGCATGAACACACTTTGCGTTTGTTCCACAGGTGCTTTGGTGGTAGAAAAAGATGGTGCGGGTTGTGACCTGAAAGAAACTGCGGCGTCAGACGGGGGGAGAGCGGCAGCCATGAGGGGTGAGGGG